TCAGTACCGGTGTTTAGCTGTATTTAGACGTCTCTAGGATCGGTGTGAGCTCCATCATTTGCACGGCAGATAATAATCCATCTTCCATAACATGAATGGAGTGACGGAGAAGTTACTGGCGTCAGACATTGTTACACATGAATCACTCTGAAAAGAAAATAAAACTTAATTGTAAGTAAAAAACAGGGGGAGTAACATGACCTAGTGAACACGCTATATTGGCAAGCCTGACTCAGGAGTCTGGTTTATCTGGTTAGTGTACAAGGTTTGGTTTTCCTGACTCATGATCTGCTCAAGCAGTGACCTGACTCCTAGTTCATCTCCCATTCTCTCCGCATACAGGAAATTTGAATGAATACTGGAATGAAATGGAAAATGAATACTGGAGAAATGGAGTGAGTAAGCCTGGGACATTCTGCTTCTGGGTGGATGTTTTAGTTTCATTAAGTAAGGATCCAAATGACGTCAAAAATCTTGTCCTAACATGATCTACTGTTAAGAGTGTTTTTTGGCTCTACAAACCAGATAATAGCAGTGGAATTGTAAATAAAGCTAGGAGTAAGATTGTCGGATTTCAGGCACCCTCTTCCTCCCCTGCCCCCCTCCTCCATGGCCTCTACTGTAATGGAGAAAACAGTTAAAATCTCTTAACTATGGTTCTTGTATATGGGGAATGTCATTTGATGCAAGCGGTGTCCAGGAATTCAGAGATTTTATAAAAGCGTTTTATTACAGCTTCCAGGACTCTTGAACCACCAGGAACCGAAACATTAAAGCATTGTTAAAGTAATAACAATGATGAAGAAAAATAATTTCTCATGCTTTCCCGTGAAGAAACAAAACAAATACCAATAGTTTAACTGGTACCTCCCTCATTGGGGATATGAGGCAGAGGTGAGGTGGAGTCAAAGGTCAGTACAGTCATCTTAGCATTTAGTGTGCTTCCTGGTTGGCAGTTCCTTTTGGTGCCCATGGCCAGCTTCTGACCTAAAGACTGTGCTGGAGTCAAGGAGTAGGACTGGGACACTACCCTTTATCAGGGGCACTATATAAATGCAAGTTGTCGTGTTGCTGTTGGCTGAAACCAATAAGTGTAGTGACAGTATGTTTTGCGGGTGAAACGCGGCAGCCAATTGCGCACAGCAGTGTTCCACAAACAGTCATGGATTGAGTGACCACTTTATTATTATTATTTTGAAGGGATTATTACCCCCGGAAAGTGATCCATCAATCGACTAACAAGCGGGTTTGTACTAAAACCAGTTATACCTGCCCTTCCTCTTCAATCTTAGAATCATAGAATTATACAGCACAGAAAGAGGCCATTCGACCCATCGTGTCTGTGCCAGCTCTTTGAAAAGTGCTATCCAAATCAATCCCACTCCCCCGCTCTCTCCCCATAGCCCTGCAAGCTTGTCCTCCCCAAATAATTATCTACTTCTCTCTTAAAAGTTGTTATCGAATTGGCTTCCACCACCCTTTCAGGCAATGCATTCCAGATCCAAACAACTCGCTGTGTAAAAAAAATTCTCCTCACCTCCCTTCTGTTTCTTTGCATAACTATTTTAAATCGGTGCCCTCGGGTTATTGACCCACCCACCAGTGGAAATAGTTTTTCCTTATTCACCCTATTGAATCCCCTCATAATTTGGAAAACTTCTATTAAGTTCTTGTCCCAGATGAGATCAGCTAACTCAGTACAGATCAGGGATCAGAGCATGGAACCTTTTGGGTAAATATGGTTCATGTGCACAACTGGTAGATTTTGGGCACCTACAGGTTATATAAATAATTAATAATCCTTGCATTTGGTATAACTCCTTTCATGTCAGGAGGACGTCCCAAAGCGATTCACAGGATTTTACCTTCCTCTTCAACCGTGCTCACGACCACCTAACCACCCCACTCCCCCGGCTTGGAATCAGGCTCCGCCACAGTTAAGTGCTCTGAGACGCTACCCTGCATGGAGGGAGCTGTATAAGGGCAAGTTGTTGTTGTTGAAGAACAAAATAAGAGATTTTGAATCCTTACTCCAGCTGAGAGCTTTTGAAATCTACGATAGTAGCGTGAGTTGGTTATAGAGTAACAACGTATAAATGCAGCCCTGGCGAGAGACTGTACTCTGCCTTTATTCTGCGTGTGTTTGTCAAGGTCAGACTAGGTCAACAGTAAGAGTTTATGGGAAGAAATAGTGATGAGACACATTGTAACCCACTGAAATGAGAAGTGCTGTGTTTATTGCCCTTTACACACAAAAGCTGGCGTTTATCTCCCTTTGTCCGCCTTTCCTCATTCGTTCTTCCCGCCTCACCTGAAGGGGCTGACATGCCGAGATACTATCGTAAAGGTATTTGTTGCCCTCCAGTACCCCACTCAAGTGGCTATTCTTCATTTGTAGTCATTGACAGTGAGTGTCAGCGGGGTGAGGCGATTAGTCAAGCCTGGATCTGTTGTTCTTACCCAACATTCACACCCGTTTACCTTCCCATGAGTGGGGGTGGGAGGGGTAAGTGATCAGAGGTAGCGATCAGAAGCAGAACGCTTGGCTGATTTTTAGCCCCTCCTAAGCCAGGGGCATCTAAGACCAGTTGTACCTGCCCTTCCTCTTCATTCTTGTCCCAGATAAAATCAGCTAACTCAGTACAGATCAGGGATCAGAGCATGGAACTTTTTGGGTAAATGTGGCTCATGTGCACAACTGGTAGATATTGGGCACCTACAGGTTATATAAATAAATAATAATCCTTGCATTTGGTATAACTCCTTTCATGTCAGGAGGATGTCCCAAAGCGATTCACAGGATTTTATTGTGGAGTTATGGTGTATTTGTAATAATAATAATCCTTGCATTTGATATAGTGCCTGATCACATCTTCCAAGATGTCTCAAAGAGCTTCACAGAATATACTGTAATAATAATATAATAATAATAATCCTTACATTTGATACAGTATATTTCACGTCTTCTCGACTTCTCAAAGCGCTTCACAGAATAGACTGTAAAGTGAATTGACTATATATTTGTGGGCGAACTGTAAAATGCATTGACTGTATATCTGTGGGTGAAACGCAGTAGCCAGTTGCACACAGCCGTGTACTACAAACAATCATGGATTGAGTGACCACATCTGCTTTTTTGGCAGGATTATTACCCTCTGGAAAAGTGATGCCCAATCGACTAACAATTGGTTTCCTACTTACTGCTAGGTAAACAGCGGCGTGTGAAGTAAGGAAACCTGTCCAACATTTCCCCCTGCCCAGGAATCAAACCCAGGTCATCTCGCTTGTGAGGTGAGTGCTCTAACCACTAAGCTACAGGACTCCATTTGTAGGCAATCTTCAATTTAACATAAGTTCAGTGAATGCCACTGCGAGTGAAATCAGAATTAATAAGTTTGCACATCTCCAGATAAGTGTCTATGATGTATCATCAGTTCATACCATTACTGCTTAGCCCTCTGCACACTTCATACAGTATTGTCAATACTGCAGGCCTCAGCCCAGTAGCTTTCATGCATTTTAATATCATGAAGTCATGAATTTGCATAGATGGAAACAGAGGCAGTTGGCCATTTGGGGAGTTCGGCATTAATAGCTCATTTCAATATTTCTAATGAGATTCCTACATAAGAAATTGGAGTCACTAGGATTCCCCCCAATAATTGAACACACTTTCACGCTGACCAACTGTTACCCTCAGCATCTATTTCTGGAACTTCTACAGAACAACAGGAATTCTAATGAGATTCCTTAGTTAGAAATCCCATTCAGGAATATGGGTATAGATATATACTATAGATAGGATTCAGGCAGTAGGGGCACTTCTCTTTTGCTTATTGGACGTTCCCTTCATGGCTGTTTATAAATTGTTGATTGCTGTGTGCAAATTGGCTGCCACATTTGTCTACACTAGTTATTAGACTCTACAGGATACCTTCTGAAGTGCTTCGAGTATCCTCCCGATGTGAAAGGCTCAGGAATATACTTGTGGTCAGAAAACAGCAATTGGTTGAATTCTAGACCTGTCTGTGAATCACAGTAAATAGCAATGTTTTTCCGTTAGCATCAAATTCCTATTGCAAGATATTTTAACACAAACAATGCACTTGATTCCTGTTGGCTGATGTAAGTTTACTATAAACTTTAATTCAATTTGTCACAGAGCTTACCCCTTTGAGATTGTAGAGGGAAGGGAGGTAGATAGATTATCTGTTTGTGTGGCTTGAATGGCTGTGTTTGTGTGGGTGAAGGTCACACAGGGACAGTTCTAAGAACAGTTAATGTTGTGGCTTCATTTGCTGTCTTACTAGTTCTTCATTTGTTTCTCTCCAGTGATTCCTAGTCCCTCCACAAAAGGGGAGGGTGGGAAGAGGGCAGGTGGGTGAATGTTTGACCTACCTGTTTCTGGGTGAGTCACAAGTAGTGTGATGCTATGAAAACACCTGAAAGGTCATGAGTTTCTGTTAAGAGACATACCTTGCTTGCCACTTTAAATCCAAGCCATGTTTAGCCCCAGGTAAGTGAGTTCAGCTTCTCTCTTTTAAATATTCTGATGTCTGTCAGGTTGGGTAACACGTCAGCCTATAGTTTTAGTGTTCTTTTTCAAACGAAAATCAGCTGAAAGCAAGTCCTGAAAGTTTTCAAGGTAAGGTGTGTTTTGGTTTAAAAGGATTTGGGGAGGATACAGAACTGCTGGGCTCCTCAGGTGAAACTCCGGCGCAGGTTTCTTCAGGAATTCTCAGTGAGGAAACAACAGCAGGTGCATTCTCTAAAGCAGCCTTTCTCCTTTGGCTTGCCTCTGGATTCTCCCCCACAAAACATTGTAACTCTCTGCTTCTGTCATGACGACAGGTTGTGTTCGCCATTCTAGGTCACCCTGATTAACAAACAAACCTTTTTTTTTGGAAGCACGCAGTCTCTGCCTTCTATCCACCCTTTTTTTTTTAAACGCTATTGTGCACTACAGAAAAGGTAGGTATCTATGCTCCTACCTCAACAGGAACTCCAGGCTGGCCTGACGCCAGAGAGGGCTCAGCGAACAGGATAAAATTACAATTTAGATTTACGGGAAGTTGCAGTAAAATTCAGGTTTGGTGGCTTTTGGGGCAGGGCACTGACTTCAGTCAAGCACTTGCTTGTGTGAGGAGAAAAGAGACCAGGAGGAAGAAGGAGACAAAACAAGTTGCGAGTTGAAAGTCACAATCTTAGTTTGGGCTACAATAAGCTGGCAGCTTGTGCTGAACAGCCACAAGTGGTCTGCAAACCAGCTCGGAGAGAATAATGCCTCACACTTCTTAAGACCTGCTAGGAATTTGTTCTCGCAGTATAGCTTTTGAGCTGTTATTTAGCCCTATGGAATGTGCAGCTTAGGTCAGTAAGAGTCAGGTATTTTAGATTAACAAGGTCTAATTGTAAGACTCCCAAACTTCATTACACTTTCCAAGGGCTGAAAGTGTTGGGGCAGAGAGAAAACAACTCACGGTCAAGTGAAGCCACAGAAGTTTTGCTGCAGTAAATAGCATTGGAGGGAGTTTCTGGGCACTCCTTACTGTATTAACCTTGATCATAAAAGAAGATGTGGGTTGTGTGCTGCCAAAACATTTTCGTGTCTTAGGAAAGTGCTGATGAAGAGAAGGATCACCGGTATCTAATGTCTGAAGTCTTCGAGAGGTAGGTTACGATTTGTGTTTTAAAGAATACCCTCCTTTATTTTTCTTTTGTGACCTAGAACTGGGTAATGCTAATAGGTTCTGAAAGGTAGCTCATTCTATAACTCAGCCTGCTGAGAAGTTAGCTTCTTGTAAGTTCAAGATTCTGCATGGGAAGCCATGTAAATCAGTCATTCTTTGCAAAAGGTAACTACGGTTTGAAAAATTATTTTAATTTCTCGCTACTTATGTTCACAGTGTAAGGACTTTTTATAAAAAAAAGTGGCTGCTGCTGTGTTTCATATCTACAGCTATGTGTGTTACTGAATGGGCATATATTCGGTCTGTTAGATGGAAGCACTTTGAGTACTACAGGTGCCGATTGAAGCAGGTGAAAGGTTAGAAAGTGTGTCAAGCAGAGACTGGATTGGAAATAAGAGTAAAAATCAGCCTATATAGTTGAGAATCATAAGGCTTTTAGTTAGTAATCATGATTCTTTGCTTGTCGAACAACAGTGAGAAGCTGAATAATACAGGTACTAACATTCCCATAGTAAAAGGTTTCAACTAATAGTAAGAAAATAATAATATTTACATTTCATATAGTATCTATACCGGCAAAATGTCTCAAAATGTTTCACAGTATTTGGAGGTGAACGTGGCAGTCAGTTTGCACACAGCCATGTTCCACAAGCAGCCAGAAGATAATATTTATTAGAAAACAAATGAGCAAGATTAGTCGAAAGAAAACACGGCAAAATATAGAAGACAGAACTTGCATTTTATAGCACCTCATCATGCTGAAAAATCGCTGAAACAATTACTGTCAAGCATAGTGACTTTTCCTGTAGGCAAAACACAGTAATCATTTGAGCCAGCAAGGTCCTGCAAACAGGTTCATAGGATTGGTCTGGATGAAGAAAGCCCTTTGGCCCATCCCATCTCATCTGTTCAGAACACCCCCCCTCCATCAGTGCATCAAGCTGCTTTTTAAATGAAACCAGCGTACTGGCTCCTCCACTTTCCCTGGCAACCTGTAAACCCTCTGTGAAAAGAAAAAATTCCTAGTGTCTGACCTCAAATTGCCCTTTACAATTCTAAAACGATGTATTCTTGTTCTATTGTCACGATACATCCTAAAGGATTAATCTGGATTTACTTTTTCAATCCCATTTAAAAATTTTCCGAGTTGTTTTTTCTCAAGATTTAAGAGCCCTAACTTGGCTAATGGTTGTTCATAGCTCAATCCGCTAACCCTGGAGGTCATGCCCATTGCTCTCCTCTGCATCTCCTTTAGCATCTCGACAGCCCCCTTAAGTCACAGTGATCAGGACTGTTGTAAATTTCACCAGCTTATACTGTATTCAGTATTCAAAGCGTAGTCCAACCAGAGCACTGTACAGATTGAGAATAACGTCCGGAGATCTAAACTCAACTGGTTTAGGAACACAACCCAGCATCTTGTTTGCCTTGTTTATTGCTGCCTCACAAGTGAGCAACGAGTCAATTAACACCCCTAGATTTCTTTCAGCTTCCCCCTTAGCAAATTCAATCCTGTTCATACAACAACAGCAGCAACAACAAATTGCATTTATATAGCGCCTTTCACATCAGGAGGATGTCCCAAGGCACAGGACAGTCCAGGGTTTGCTACAAGTTGCGAGCTGGAGTCCAGAGCTGACTCCTACATGATGTCTGTCAGTGCTGCACAAATCTCTGTGAAGAGTTTGAGAAGTCTCAAAGATGTGATAAAGTGCTATATCAAATGCAGAGATTATTATGATTATTATTATCTCCAGCCTTGTTTCCCTAAGTACTCTTGGTACAGTTCATTGGTCCCAGGGGATTTGTTAGTGTTAAGCCCCTTGAGAATCTCAGCCTACTTTATATGAAAGTCCTGAAACAACCACGAGTGAAAGACCAAATAAATACTGTCGACTATGTGTGATTCTGTAATAAAATGGTAAAAGGTATTTTAGAAGAGTTTAGGTCAATTAAGTATAAGAAGTGCTGGATTTGAAAGTATTGTTTTCAATCCTACTGTATCAGCTAATTCATCTCAAAGACACATTTGATGGTTTTAAGAGAAAAATAATGAATTTCTCCCTCTCCTCAGCCCCTACTTTTTTTTATTTTGTAAACCAGACAATGCAAATTAAGCTGTTTGCAGTTTATAACTATCTTCTGGCTGTCTTCTCCCTTCCCCCACTTTGTTTGTTGTTTCCATGCGAACAAGATAGCAGGAGACGACATATTGGTGTTTTCCTATATGACGATGGGAGCACAAATACACAGTCACTGCACTTCACAGAAAACTGTGAAGTGCTTTGAGATGTTTCAGTGTGAAAAGGCGCTGTATCAAATGCAAGGATTATTATTATCAAATTAATGGATTATTATATCAAATGCATGGATTATTATTATATCAAATGCATGGATTATTATTCGAGCAGGGGGGAAATGGTCAGGGTGAGGGGAGGGAAGGGAGGGAGCGAGGAGGGGGAAGGGAGTCGAGAGGGGAGCTGAAGGCACGGCCATATCAAATGCATGGATTATTATTATATCAAATGCATGGATTATTATTATATCCAACACAAGGATTATTAATACACACACTCAAGGTTTGGGAAGCATTTGAATTTCAATCACTCTTTCCCACACCGGCACCTGAATGAAAACTGAAAAAGGAAATCCATTTCCTGATATCTCCTTCTCCCCCACACCCCACAACCCCCTCCAGCCAGAGGAGTAGGCATGTTTCTAATGAGGATGAGATTGTGAAACACACCCCTCCCTGACCCACCTCAACTGCATACCCTTCTCACGCTCGTACTGTTGAAAGAAAGAGTCAAACAGTTCAGGTACTGAGGGAAAAGGAGAAATTCCAGGAAGAAAATTGACAAAGGAGTTTTTTTAAAAAATCATCAGGCAGATAGGAGAATCGGATTCATTGATATGTGAAATTAAATACAAAGCCAGATGTGACTTAAATGTCTGGCTTCTCTGCTGGGGGTTACACTATGAAGATTCCTGGTGACTTTAATTAAGGTCTTTGCATAGATGTTTTAAAAACAATTCCTGCCAAATTTACCCCTCATGAAAGTGTTTGACTTATTTTTCTTTCTCCTGGGTTACTGTTCCATGGGTTGCTATTCATGTGTGATTGTTTGGCGACTATTTCAACCATGGGGGAGAGGGGAGTAGAGGCAAAATAGTAACTAGAATGAAGACCCCTGGCTGACTTTTCCCTTCATAACCCTGGGTACTGATGCCAATTGTAGCTTCTGAACTGCTCTCCTGTCTGAAATCAGTCAATTCACACAGTTTAGAGGACTTCCACTTAGTCCTCTGAACTGAGGACTGTAATTCCACTTAGCTTTAGCCTCAACAACAACATGTTGCAGTCACTCGGAGAGCTGTACAGTGATAGGGTTGAATGCCGACCAGAGGGGTGGGGAAGGTTAGTGTAGGCAGAGTCGAGAGGTATCTTGAAGTGGGATTTATAGACAGACAGACAGAGAGAGAGAGAGAGAGAGAGATAAAGAGGGGCTGGGTGGTGGGAATTCCAGAGGTTAGGGGCACAGTGGCTAAAGGTAATAGAGATGTGCAGCAGGACTGTGTTCGCTGACCGAAGGGAGTGGGTGGATGAGTGGGGTATAAGACCATCACAAGAGCCTATGAGACCATTGTGTTGCAAAATGTAATATTTCTTAAAATATATTGTGGAGCATTCTTAAATTCAGTTTAAATGTGGCCGCCGGTTCTTTTTAAGAATTGCAGAAAACTAGCTTCCAAATTAATATTAAATTTAAACATTTTCCACTATTCAATCTTAAATTTATGACAAATGGCCTTATAGTCTAGGACTCGTGGAATTTCAGGCTCAGATGCACACACCAAGACCACACAGATTAGTGAAATATGACATAGGGTACTTAAAAGGGAGGAGTAATCAGTGGTGAGCTCCATCCTCAGCATATATCCGCTCAGCCCATGTCCGTTACATGGTAGGTAAAAAATTCTGCTGATGTCTCTACTTTAACTCCTCCCCCACAACACCCTCCAAACTTCCTCATTTTAAACGTTTGTTTTGTGACAACTGTATCAATTTGAGGGATGACAGTGGACATTTAAGAGTACTGTAAAATTCTGTTGCTTTCCCCCATATTCTTTTCGTAGCAGACACTCACCAAATGGATATTGAATATGGAATTTGTCCTATACGATAGAGACTGAACAATTTATGAGCAAGACACGTGTAAGTTAGTTGTGTGGAATAAATATCAACGTTACCACCAAACCTATGAGCACTTTATTGTTGGAAGTAGAGCACATTAGGGCACCAAGCTGTTTCTTAGACAGACACAGCCTCTGATTATAGCCAGTCTTGGCATAACTGAAAATATTTGTTTTTGGTTTAATATCTCTATCCCATTTAGCATCCTATATATCTCTTTCTATCCACTCAGATTTATCTTGTTAAAGCTGAAAAGTCAGGGAAGAAGGGTTGGACCAACATTTTTGAAGATGGGTCTCTTTATTGAAGCAATAATGATATACACATCTTCCTCTTTCCATTAGTTATATATTACATTTCTCTCCCTTCCCCTCTCCTGATTCCCATTTCCCATTAATTAAAATGAAAATTCTGGCATTTCTGAGGAAGAACAGATTAATGTGGCCATGAGCTCCACTTTTAAACTCCATAGCAATTGGCTGCCGCATTTCGCCTAGAAAACACACAGTCACTCCACTTTACAGTATATCCTGTGAATTGCTTTGATAAGTCTCAACAATGTGATAACAAAGCACTGTATCAAATGCAAGGATGATGATGATTATGCATGTTGAAATCCTGGTCTGCGCTGAGTTAGTTGATCCTAGCCAGGACTTGCATGATGAGTTTTTTGACATAGAATACAATTCCACGGGTGCCAGTTGACCTCTGGTACCTCTCCCCAAATGACTACTGTTAGCAGACCATTTAATTGTAGGGGCCCCAGGCTCGATCGTGATCTCACC